TCGTAACGGGTCCCTAAATGTATATCCGGTCTCACGGTGGCGTATCGATGTGTCATTTCAGTGCTACTACACTCCTAGACAAGTCTAGTTTATCGACGGTACTAGTTTATCGACGCCGGAAGGTTAGAAGGCTTGGTGAAGCCGGAATAGTGCAACGAACCAAGAACGACATGTGAATTTCGGGGCACCTCTAACCACTGCTCTACACGCTCCCATTCGCTCTCAGACGTTAACCCTTGTTGTTCTCCCTAGCAAGTCGTTCTTTTTCCACTGAGGTTTTGAGATAGCAATATCAGAGCGTTGCTAGAACCTTACAACATATATATTAAGTTGTCCTTCTTTGAGAATTTAAAGATGAGCTGAGGCCACTGTACCACTGTAGATTACTTTTGCTTATTTCGACTTAACGTTGGCTTCATTAAATCGATATACTGTTGACGAGGTACCTTTGCTATCACGTACAAAATATGAACTGCTCTGCTTAAGTATATTTTTATAGAAATATTTAAAAACTTTCCTTTTAGCACATTGAGCTTGCTTTCCGCAATTCGACTATGCCGAAGCGATTGATCGAAGCAGAGGACTTCTATAATGTAACAGGTTTTTTTCGTGGAGATTTTCAAAGTACTATAGTTACTCACGTTACAGTATTGTTTTCGCTACTTACGTAGAAACTTGGATGGCTAGCTTTCACTGGTTGTGCTTGCCCCAGCAAAATTTCCCTTTTTCGGAGTTTTGCTGGCCTAGCCATTATCATTTACTGGGATTCCGAGATCAACCTGGCTAGAGTCTGCCCCAGGTCGTCACCACCAAAGGCAGTCGCCGCTTTGTGGATCAGAGGGAGATTTGCCACTATGCGACTAATTTCATCCCAGGGCGGTGGTGGATCCGTGTATTGTTATTGATTGATTTCTCGCTACAGTGGGACAAATTACAAACAACATTGACAGTATAGTAGTCCTCTAACACGATACTCTTATAACTTGTTCGCAAGAAAAGGAACTAATTTGCAGTTATAACCACCAAAAAATTCATAGTAAAACCGAAAACAACCAAGTAGGTCCACGTTCTTTCTAAATGTACTAAACTCGAGTTTCAGATTGCCGTTGTTCTTGTGGTGGACCTAAGTGTCTTTCTATCGGTTGCTACCCTTACAGTATGCGTAATATTATGTGAGAGTAGCATCGTTACTGAAAAAGTACTGTGCTTTTATTTTTTTTTCCTAATTCACTGGAATGCAGCATTAATTTTAATGGAGCATATTCTAGCTGTAGAAATGTGATGTTGAATGAGGAACTCATCAAGAAAAGTCATTATCCAAGAATTCAATATTTTGCTTGAGGAGGTCAGCTGGTGGTCCACCTACATCTCGGCAAAGCATAGTAAAGTAGGCATGACTTCGCACTCATCAACACGTCTGAGATTAGGTCTTGTAATAAAAATAGGTCGTGTCGCGTAGTGCTCGGAGGCGCCCTGAAATACACAAGAGATCGATTGGCGTATCCCTCAGGGATTGATTAGCACCGAGAGCTCTATCCTTTTTTATTTATCAACAAATTTATCGTAGAGCTGAGCAAAGGATACTGGGAAGGAATGAATATGGAGATTTTGTTGGTAATGACTAGAGTTACTCGATGATTGAAAAAACTCAAATGATGGAGTTCATGTCATTTTGGAAAGTGCGCGCATATACCACTTTTTCAATGCTAACGATTTCTAAACCAACCATCACCGTGTGACCCACGAAACCATCGACGAAAACCTTAAGAGCTACGTGATTATTCTATAGGTACGTTTAGTTTTCAGGGCTCATTTATTCGACTCCGCCAAGTAAAGGTGACTGAATGCACATTTGGCCTTTAGAAGGACTTGCGAAGGCTTCCTATTGCATTAAATCAGCGTTTCGCTACTCCCGGACGAGTCTGGTATAAATTTTCCGAACCGCAGTGAATGAATAACTTTATCAACTCCGGAGACGGGATCAAATCGACACTTGCACAATCCTCTTTCCATGCAAGGAATGATTTTGTTGTTGTTGTTGTTGTATCACTGGTCCTATAGAATACGCACCTTGTCAGCTGAATTGCTTATTATGATGTCCTCTTTCAGCATACTGTGAAAGGTTCTATCCTGAGTGGTATAATATGGTTGTCATTGGCAGTATGCTTTACTGCGGTTGGAATATATTTGTACATTCATAGCGTTAGCGTTTTTGAAGATAAAGACATGGTAGCCGGAGTACTCCGTAGTTCACTAAACGGTAAGTGACCAAGGCTTATATCACTATTAAAAATCGAATATTTCGGACTTTTGAAAAGTACTAGAGTTTTGTTATAAGTGAGAAACACTTCAGCATGGAAGACATTTTTCAAAGGTTAGAAATATCCAAAGATCCCAATAAAAAGTATCCTTCTTACTTTAATTGTTGCTGTTCTTGCTATTATAATACTGCTGTTATTACCCATTATTCAAATACTTGGACAACGCTCCACCACTAGTAGCATGAGCCCTAGCACACTTTTCCATTGTTTCGCTCCCTCGCAGGCGTTTCAAAGCGTCGAAACGTTAGTCCAATAAATATTTGATAACAACCTTGTGATTGGTTCTAGTTACAAATATGTCTTTCCGTTCTCTAAGTGGTCGTTTCAGATTGTGCTTATGTCATCATGGGCTCCACTCCATAGCTCTTTTGACCATTTATCGTCTGCTTTTCTCATTGTATGACTAGCCCTTCTAAGCTTCTACACTTCTGCGTATATCGTCCTAGATCTTGAAGATTGGACAGGCCTCGAAGATCTGAACTGCACAAACTGACAGGACCTTGTATCGTCAACTAAACTTTAGAAGTCATCGTTCATATACTTTGTGGATGGTACACAAAATTACCGGCATGTTTGAAGTGTCAGGCGGTCTGTGTTGCACTACTGAGCAATCGGTTTCTGTAATTATGAGGTGGTCTCTGTAATCAGAGAACTATCGGGCTCAACTTGTTCGCCTTCGCACCATGAGTTCTTCGTGAATTGGGATTTCCTCCGATTTATGCACGTTCCAATCTTTTGTCCCATTTCGTTGAGTCCTCTAAACATCGTCTCTGATCCATCGGTAGTTCTTCAAAAATTTACGATATTGCCTCGTCTGTAATAGCTTTGGCGAGACGACATCACCTTGTTGAACCCCTTTTCACACGAGGGTGGTAAAATGTCGAAGAGAAAGCTGAGATTTAGGCGGATGTTTTAAGTCTTCCTACAAGCATCTCGTTACTTTTGGCCGGATGTCTTTTCTAACCTACGAAACACGTATGAATAGTATTTCATTCTCGTCAATCGTAATTAACTCATCATTCACGCATTGAGTTTTCCTTTCTTGACTGTGAGAAGAGCCCATTTTTTATCTCATATCTATATTAAAGTTTTGCACGGAGAAGGCACTGATCAGACCCAGTACAGAGTGATAACTCCGCGAAAGTGTCTAGGAGACACCATCCTATGTTCGTGTGTTCCTGAATCCGCATCCGTCGCTCCGTTAGTCGACTCTCATATCCATCGGTGATCTCTTCGCTTATTAAAAAACTAATTGGTGTGAAAAAGACGCACTGCATGGAGAATTCCTTGCAGACGCTGTTCTCATTTCCTTCTTCGATTTTAAAATTTTCGACTCTGTAGGCATTCTCGTTAGCCTTTGCAATTTTGACATTGAAGTCCTCGGAACCATTTTTTCCATGACAGAACTAACCATGACGGATTATTTCCTCCACGTGGTAATAGACCAATTCATACACATGGAATACATAGGCCTTCAAATAGAAATTGATGATGCTGAACTTTTTTGATGGAGGGATTCGAGACGGAGAATGGCCAAGCGAGATGACGGAATATCGTGATCTACGACTGACAAGGGTACCGTCATTTAATGGGTGTATGTGGATCTCGCTGTTTTTTATCCTTTATTGGACTGTACGTGAAATTTGAGGTGACTTGTCGCCTTAAGAAGAACATGAAGACCATCGCTTGATTGTGAAATACTCTCCATGCCTTACCGTGGGCGTGTTTGATTCGGGTTCCAAGAACTTCTTGGGCAAAACGAACGGTACACCTGAAAAATCGCCACTATTTTTTACTACAATTGTTATTACGTTAATATTAAGGATGTGGCAGAAGTTTTATCGATTTTGTGTTGTTAAAATCTCAAATACAGAAAGAGCACAAACATGGAATAATGTTTCCAAATACGCGAAATCCTTGTTTTCAAAGAGAAAGTAAACAAAGAGTTCTATAAAGTAACTTATGTTCTCGACGTCCTACTGTGCCTGATGACCTAATTTATTTCCAGATGTCAAAAAATTTCTTGTCGATTCTATCGATGCATTAATCTGTCATGTGAAAGTGAAGAACAATGAACAGATTATTCATGTTGGGCCAACGATGATGAACTTCTCTTTCATCTTGATAAAACTAGAAAACCTGGTTGATAACAGAAATATAGCTAAGGTTAGTGGATTTGAAGATTCACAAAGCTTTCCATCTCTCTGGGGTCGGCAGATTGGTACCAGACTTGGCTGGGATGATAGCAGTATGGCTCGATACATCGGTAGGTCATCACGAGTTATTGTAAAGGCCAGATACGCATTCATCACATCCAAACGATGCTTAATGAGGTGGAATGCTTGGCGCATCCCTCAGGGATTGATCAACGCCGGGAGCTTTATCTTTATTTATTCTTTTCAAACCCAGTTAAACGTGAACCTCGATGTTCAATTTTCATTTCTGGTTTAAGATTTTGGATTTAAAGAATAGTACACTAAAGATAATCGATCAATTAGATGCGGCACTTAACAGTTCGAACACTACAGTAGCTAATAATCTCCTTCTGGAAAATGGTAATATGGTTAGTGATTTTTTCCTTGTAAATCTTTTATTATCTAATTGAAAGCTGATTTTTGTGTGCTAGGTTCTTCCTTAGTTTTTTATTATTTTCTTCAGTTTTATATTATACAGAGAAAAATGCTCAATGCATGGCAGCCAGTTGATCAGAATACTTTGATGATAGGTGACTCTCTTTACGACTTAGTGAGTTTGAAATTTTTAACGCCGAAAGAAGTTTTATCCTTAATCTTTTCTCAACTTTTAGTTACGAAGTGTCGAGAAATTCAAGAAGAATCACGATGACTTTTGGGCCAAATACTCTGATCATCTGAATGACGTAGGTCTAAAATGTTATCATAGATTCTGTTACTAGTTGATGTTCTTCGTGTTCCTCGAACTAGGCAGATAAATAGGCTTTTTTTAAAGGATTAGTGCGAATGGAGACTTCACCGATGTCAGCTAATGTTCCTCGATGATTAGCTTGTTTATAAAGACCTCCATATTCTATTAGCCCAAAGTCGTCGAATATTTTCTAAGCGGTTGACGTTTGAGTAATAATGTCTTCTACGGAGCCTCACCTATTTAAGCCACTTCGAAATTTACTGATGCTTCTAAGCCGCGAAATCGTTCCTTCTGTTTTGAGTAATATCAATCTGAGTTGAGTGGTACCACTCTTCAGTGAAGGGATAGAAAGCGAAAAGCATTCCGCATTCCTCGGTTTCCTAAGGATATTCGAGCATTTCGTCTCCAGTAGCGCTTTCGTGGTTTATAACCCCTATGAAAGTCATTTCGAAACTGCCGGTTGCCGGAGTGGCCGTTATGACTTCTATACGAGTAATATTATTATCTTTCTTGCGGTTTATTTCAACACACAGAACTGTTTTCTTGCAATCTGCAACTTTTCATTTATTGCATGTTATTTTTTTCACAGGAGAGTATTATGTGGAATACATCCACAAAGGTACTGAGATATTTGCAAAACTCAGACCTTAGGCCAGATTCGAACCCGCGATTGATTATTCCGTTGACGTTCATTCCCGTTGTAGAGTTACTGACGATGGCACCATTAAATTTAAAAAAAAAACTGGCAGAGAGAAAGACAAAGCAAGGGAATCAGCGGTGCAGTGGGTAATATGTGAGCTTCCGAAAAAGATAATCGCAGGTTCGAATCCGGTTTGGGGTCTGGATTTTGCAAATATCTCAGCGTTATAGTGGTTGTTTTCCTGCACTTTTTATAAAAAATGCTAGATCAAAAATCGTAGGTCCCAGATCGTCTTAACCTAGTGTTTTTACCTTTCTAGACAAGTCTAGCACCAATTTGGTGGTGTCGGTGAGACGAAGGACTTCATTTTTCCGGACGCAGCATTGACCCAACGAGTGTGTGTATTGACCGCCAGCCCTATCCACTGCGGTCTAGTCGCCCAATGGCCGGACATAGTTGTTCATGTTTTATACTACTTATTAGAAGAGTCGAATAGTTATGTGAAGCCAAACACCGGAGCTTACTCAACACGTCCGGAGGCTCTTCTGAAGAGGGCATAGGAAAACACTCATTTTGGAGTGCGATATAAGATACTTTCGGATCCTCCAACTGTGGTTCTCTCTAGCTCACCGACTTAATTCGAGTCGATACCATCATGAAAATGAATATACCACCTAAATTTTAATGACGTAAAAAGTGTTTAACAAGACCGTATTAACTTTTCCAAAGTCAAGGTGTTCATATTTTTCGTAGGAGATAAACAGACGTTGACACTTGTTAGTCCTAGCAATAATGATGAGATTACTGGTAATATAGTCGTTCTCGTTAGAAAACAATGAAGATTCTAATAAAAGTCTTTCGCCTTTCATCCTGGGCTTTCTATTTGTTTTTTAGACACTTACGGCTATCATGGAGCAGAGTGAAAAGTTTCAAACTATCGCCGAGGATATGCGTCGAGCAAATGTAAGTCTGACATAATTTGAGAAACTTTTCTTTTTCAAGCACAAAGATGTTGAGATATTTCTAACACTTAAACTCCGGGCAAGATCGAACAGCGACTTCCCTTTTCGGGGGCTCGCGCATTACACACTGCGCGACGGAGACCCTTGCTCCGCGTTTCAATCCTGTTGACGGGTGACTACTGGTGACATTGGTAGATAGAAAAAGTAGCTGAGAGAAACGCAGAGTAAGGGCCTCCGTTGAGCAATGCATAATGCGCAAGAGTCCGGAAAGAGAAATCATGGTTTGATCTAGCTCGAAGTCCAAGTTTTGCGATTATCTCAGCATCGTTGTGGTTGATTTCGCATAAGACCTTATCGTGAACATTGTAGTAAGCGGAAAGGAAAATGTAAGCATCGTTCTTTTTCACCTATTCCTGTCCTTTTTAAATTTTTTCAGAATTTTGGAGTTTTCACTATTGTGAGAAAGTACTCTTAAAAATTCATTTATTAGTCGCATTTAAGTTTATCTTTAATAGAGAGCTTTGTGTTGAAAAACTACTCCTAACCATAGTTTCGCTCCATCAATAGCTTGTTTCACTTGGATGTTTAACTGAATAAAAACCGCGACTTAAAGGATTTTGAGCTAAAATTTCGCGCTCTTCTTTTTAAGTCCTTGGCTGTTCTTATTTGCTACTGATGAAGCAAAAATATCAACAAAAATAGTAGATAAATGTATTAAAATACTTCACTATTCTTAAGGACTTTGTCGATTCAATCAAATCATTTTTGATTGTGCTTATGATACCAGCTCTAGTGCAGGGTTTCTTAACCCTAACGAGTTTGTTAGTACTGGTTTTAAGGTGAGTTTTTACCTTGCAAGGCTTTTTTGTTATGAAAATGCATTCACATGTTTCACTAGTACTCGATGTTCAGGGACTTTTTTCAAAGTTCAACGAACACAGTGGTAATGATCGGAATGGCGATACTTAACATGAGTGCTTTTGTTTCAGTGGCTATCACGGCACTTCTATTCTTAACATTTGCGTGAGTTTAATCGCTAGCAGTCTAGTGATTTCCTAAAGACATTCTGTTGAGACACAGTAGATGATTTCGATGTAAATGTCATTCCAAGCGCTGTTTTTCCTCTTCACGTCAGCGTCAAACGCCTGTAGTATCGACGAGCAGTACACTGATCAACGGACATCGTAACTGACTTGCGGCAAAGAAAGTATAGATATTGACTGGCTTTCAGTGTTGTCTTCATGATTGACAGTGAAAATTTTTGTATTTGTTAGCTCACCAATTTAATCTACTCTCGTTTAGGTTCTGCTTCGTCTTAGCCTATAGTTCCTCTTTTCTTTGCATGGGACTTACCACTTACGGCAATATCGGACAACTGAAACAAACCAATATTAGCGCTAAAAACGCTAACTATATGCTGACAAGCAATACAACACTCCGACTTGATTTGATGTACGACTTTTCACGTACATATATGAAAAGAAAGCAAAGGCTTAAAACGTGCCAAGTTGAATATTTAAAGTGGCGCTTAATCAGATAATTATGACGAGGATGCTTAGATGGTGAGCTCCAAGCGTCATGATTCTAAGTGACTCCAATATTAACTTTCTCCGTTTTGATATCTTGTCGCCGTGCCCAAAAAGTTGCTGATTTTGCGTCACGGATTTCGCTGCGGATTGAGGACCTGCTGTCTTCGGTTCTCATTATCAACCTGAGTGCTGCTTGAACGTGGCTTCCTGTGCAGTCTTAACATATTTTAGAGAGTTCGCAAGTGTTCACCCCAAGCCGCTGTGAATCCACCGCATCGGAAAGAGTTTCTTTACCATGTGACTATGCTTTCTTCAAAATCACAGCACTTCTCCAATTCTGACCGTTAACAACGGTGCGACAAGCCCACCTTTGAAGAATTTAATTTTGATAAAGTTGCTTACTTACTTACTTGGACGGTCCGTCTTCACGAGCTCTGCGGACCCCAGCACATATGGCATTCGTTCGTTTCCCTCGCAATAGTAGTCCATGGTGGTGGTCTTGTTCGAGCAGAGGAGCGCTTGCGAGTCTCATACCGTAATCTGTAAGACAACTGTAGCTGCGGGTACAGCTAATTAACTTTGTTTACGAACACGTCCGCCCAACGTGTAGGTGGTCGTCCAAGAGGACGTTTGCATTCTCTTGGAGTTCACTCTACTGTTCTTTTCGTCCATTTGTCGTCTGTTCTTCTCATTATGTGACCGGACCATCTATGTTTCGCTGTCGATGTATATTCTCCTGGATCTCGAAGATGTGACAGATTTCGAAGGTCAGAGCTTCGCATTCCGGCTACATATTGAGAGTGCCGGTTATATTTCAAAGGACATCGCTCAAGTGCTCTGTGAGTAGTGCGAAGCATTCTTAACGTACTTTTCGGGTCCTTCAGTTGGTCAGTGGCTTCTTTGACAGGCCTGAATGCGGCCCAACCTGCTCTCCTTCTTCTATCTAGTTCCTCCTTCATGTTGTTTTCCATGTTCATTGATTGCTCAGGGTAAACGTACGAGGTGGTCTCTGCAATGATAAAGTCATATCTTGCAAACCTTGCATTCATGGAAATCAGTGCTGATCGATGTGGTTCTCATTATGAGTTGAATCTCAGATTAGACCAACCAATACGAGGATCCACCACCGTCTTCGTATTAACCTAGTCGCATGGTTGCAAATCTCCCTCTGATCCACAACGGCGACGATTCCCTGTGGTGGTGACAACTTGGGGCAGACTTCGGCCAGGCTGACCTCGCGACTCCAGGAATACACAATGGCTAAACTAGCAAAACTCCGAAAAAATGGAAATTATGCTAGAGCACGCACAACAAGTGAAGACGGGCAATCCAAGTATTCACATAAATAAGTTAGATTAAATTATACTAGCTTGTAGAGGATAACGCCTGCACTTCTGACACCTATCTAAACAAAGAAAAATTACATCGATTGAAAACTGAGTAATTTTCTTAACTAATTTCAGAGATGTCCTGAAAAAATGCCATGCTGGTTCCTCTCTATTTGAAGCCATTTATAACCCAATGGATTGGGATGCTGATGGGTTGATAACAGTTAGGCGATTGAAACCTTAAAATTTAGCTTATTTCCGTTACTGTTAAATGTTTTTGTAGCTTAATGGGCATTTCGGGACTGAAAAATGCAAAGCCGAGGTTGTAAACCAATTTATTGAAAAGCGTGATAGGTGAAGGTGCACGGCTGTCCGTGCTGTCATTGGTTAGCCGCTAATAGTGAGCCATTCTTCGCTGCTTACTAGAGCACTACAGTGGTGGTCCCATTGGATTATGGACAAATAACAAGAGAGCTCTAGACACCGTAGGCCAATAACAGAGGAGCGTATGCAGTATGGAAAAACAGAAAACTTTAATAGTTTTTGCAAATATGAGATTTTAACTGGTTTTTTACCGGTAATAATAAAAGATAAAGCTCTCGGTGTTGATCAATTCCTGAGGGAAGCGCCATGAATTCCACTTCATTAAGTATCGTTGGAGATGATTGAATGTATATCTGGCCTTTACAATGAACCGCGGTGGCCTTTCGATATATTGAGCCAGTGCTGAGGCCCTTTCAGACAAGTCTGCTACCAATTTGCCGACCCCGGAGGGATGGAAGGCTTGGTGGACTATGGGCGCGGGGATCGATTCCACATGTGTGTCGCAGTGGTGCCTCCAACCACTGCGCCGCATAAGCCCCTTTTACCGGTAGTACATATTATACTGGTATTACTCAACCCATGTTCAGTACACAATTACTCGATTTTGCTCAAGTTTGTTTTCTATTTTGTTTTTTCATAGTTGCAACTTTTTAAATTCACAGTCGCTACCTGGCGAAGTAACACGAATTCTGTCAAACCTTCAAACATCGGACTCCGACTTGATAAGAGAGCTCGTGGTGAGCAAAAGTGTTTCAGAATTTTTGTTTGTGACGCTGAATTCACTGACTCTTCTCTTTATTTTTTCTTCCCAATTATTGCAAAATAATTCCTCGTATTCTTCTTCAGCAAACGCGAGGTGCTATTTTTATTCTTTATTCACGAATAAGCTGACGTTTAGGCGGATTTCGCCTTCCTCAGAGCCGTTTTCTATGAGGCTTCCACTGAGTATCCCGCGTGAAGACCAACCGCACTGAGAGCACATTACGCTTTCTTGTGAATTCTGTCCGGTTGGGGTTTTCACGCGACATACTCAATGGAAGCCTCATAGAAAGCGGCTCTGAGGAAGGCGAAATCCACCGAAACGTTAGCTTATTCGTGAATAAAGAATAAAAGTAACACCTCACGTTTGCTGAAGAAGAATACGAAGAATTAGTTGATCAATGCCGAGGTTAACAGGAAGTCGGTCGTGGGAGTTATTGCAAAATACATTTGTTTTTGTTCCAAAGTTAGTACGTTTTTAATAGAGTAACGAATCAGTGTTTTGACAGAGTTCGATTGTTCGTTATCGAATGGCGATTGACTCATTTACGAATGAAATGACATGGAATTCTGGCACTTTGTCACCAACTGGTAAGCTTAGACTGCTAACAAATGTTGCTCTGATTTCTTCTCTGTTTAGGAGAACAATCGAAAAAACTAGCTACATTGGCACTGGATGGGCTGCTGAATTTCACTGAAGTTGCAACTGAATCCATGGACGTGGTATGTTTCGCTATTGGGAACCCACTCATTATTGGTTTCCTCTCACCAGCTTTATGATCCCTCACTGGTACCGCATCACTATGGCTAGATGTACTACTAGTTATCGAACGGTGATCTTTAGGGCGAGTTCATTACCTAACATGGATATCTTGCGTTAATACTCACGCTCGGGCCAGATGTCACGTCTTATTAAATAAACCTTTATATAAATAACTCTTTTCACATTTTACGTAACACGGCATAACCAGTGCAGTGCCGATCCCAGCACTTCTTCCCTTTGATTCGTTTTCCTCGCATTCTTTCCTCATTATAGTTTCCGAACATTTTTCGTGTTGCTTCGGCTGCTGCTTTAAAATTTTGTCTTCTTTATGAACGTCGTAGAATGCTGATCGATTCCATTATCCTTGAAATTTTGGAGATTGCTACTTGAAAGCGTTCCCACGTGGATTGGAGGAGTACGTTGGAGAGGGGGTCGAACTAGCGCCTTTGCTCCTCGATCGACGGCACTACTAACCGCTATGCTACCATTTCCCTTTACAATGTAATAAATATTATATTAATAATAGTACAGAAAAGTGATAACAGAACGATATCAACAAAAGTACATACAAAAAATATAAGAAACCAATACTGTACGGCAACATTGAAAGAAAGAAAGGGCAGTGACACTAAGAGAGTGTCTCCTGCAATGGATTAGCGAAGTAGTGCGTAAAACAAAATGGTAGACCTTGCAAATCAAACACAGTAAAAGCCGTGGGCGGATGCAGTTAGCGTGCGAGGTAAAGCTGAGTTGGCGGTCACTACCAAACCTTATATAGCGCTCATAGAGTGGACATAAACAGTTGAAGGATCGCAATGGTATTACATCTAATTGTGCCCAGCGGAGAAAGCTGCGTATGGATGCAGACCGGGTAGAGGCATGCAATCACTCAAGCTGATTGTGAAGAATCGACCTAGTGCACTTACACCACTTCATAACAGATGAGAAGACATTTACCGGTCAATTTATCGACTTCCCCTATAAGGTAAAGTTTTGGACATTTATATTAGGAAGCGTGTTAACAGAAAAGCTTGAAAAGTTTTGCAAGTTTATGTTGGCCTCATTTTTCCCAAAAATGAAAAGTTTTGTGTAGAGCGGAATAAACTTCGTCTGCCTTGGTTAAACAGAGCGCAAGTAGTTAGCGCTGCATGTACTAATATTCCTTATTTTGTTTCAGGAATTGGTCTACAAGTATTTCTGTTACACAAGTTTTTCCCTGTATATCCGCATGTTGATACTGTCCAACAGTCTTACCAATCAATCACAAAGATGCTGGCGTGTGAGCAACTCGGAACCTCAGATATGCTTCGAGCTCGTGATTATCCTTTCCGAGGTCCTACGTGCTATCCACCACACCAAAGCCGTTGTTTTAATCTCAGAGTTCTTGTGATTGTATTTCACAGAATACTCTGCTATGAGAAAGTAGATAAAAGTTAAGCAATCTTTTGAATCGTCGTACGAATTGAGCGCAGACAACTATTAAAGGCTCCATTCCTTACTGTTGCGTGATGGGTTCCGTTTTAAGAACTGTGTTTTCTTAGCGATTTCTCTGGAAACTTGGAATAAGTGGTTTGCTAGGCGCGACTCCGAACTTCCTATTATACTGTTTTCAGTCAGGCATTCAGTTTAATCGACATGTGGTGTACAAGTCGTATTCAACCAAGCACATCAACCCATCTGTAAAATAGTATTTATTGTTATTATTAATACTGATGGTAAATAACATCAATTCCTGACGGATGTGCCGTGCATTCAACTTCATTCAGTATCGTTAGAGGTGATTGAATGCAAATTTGGTTTGTATAACATTGTGACTTGTGGTGGCTTAGATGGGTGGTGGGTGTGAGTGCTAGGTGAGTCCTGAACGTGTGGTAGAACCAAAAACCTCGCGTTTATTGCAGGGCACCTCTAAACACTGAGCTACACGGACCCCTAATGATCAATATTGATTGTATATGGCTCATATCTGGAATCCATCTGAATACACAGTACAGAAACACGTTGTGCACATTCGTAGCCAATCGGCACGAGATTCGCCATGAGGTATATCTGTCGCATTTCCATGTATTTCTCACAAGAAATGTAGTGGGTCAAATGAAAAACTCTTGCGCAGTGGAATGGTTAGAGGTGCCTAGCAATACATACGTCGCTATTCAAACACCTCTCAGCGATGCCTAACTGTGTCGAATGCATAATGCTTTCTTCAGGAATTGATCAATGTCGATCGCTTTATTCTTTTTATGAAGCTAAAGAGAAGTCATTTTCGCTTTATTATTTAGCTGGTCCTCACCAACTCAAAAATTCAACGTGAAAAACTAATCGAGTACATTAACGGCGTAGTTTTCAATGCAAATGAAGATACTATGACTGTGAGTTGCATTCTAAGTAAATTTATTTGGTTTCGGAAAAAAGTGGTGAGGTTAATACTTAAGCCAACTCTTCATAGGCTGTAGCCTTCAAATGGGACCCTGTTTTGGAATAAAGATGCTCAGATATGAGCAAAAGCTTCCGGAACTGATTTGGACTTCGGATCCGTGATTACCCTTACTGGGAGCTCATGTGCTATCCACCACACCAATTGATGCCCTTGCTTTGCGTTTTCAGTATTTTTACCCTATCGATGCTATCAGCTTGCAGCGCTCAACGGTAATGATCTGGGGGACACAAATTGGCATAGAACCTGGTTAAACTGAAACTGCATTTGTATTTCATATCGCGCTTTGTCGTGAAGAAAGAATGCACACAAAATAGATATCATGACATTATTTTAGAACACATTATTGAAATATCTCACTGAAAATTCTCCACGGTGTGCGCTGATCACAGCCTTGTGGGCAACACTGGGTGACACTCATTGCAACCTCATCTCAGTACCAATTCAATGGCTTTGGCCTCCTATTCGTAAGTTTAAGTGTTATTTGCTTCCCTCTAAACTAATTACGTCTCATATTGATCTAATGATACTTCCCAAATCTATTCAATTACACCCGAACGTGCTCCGTTTGTGTAGCGCCGTATAATAGCAAACTGCACTGCTGAATGACGTTGGATGCAACACAGTAATGGCAATGCCTATATTAACATTTAAGGCCGACCATGGCACAGTTCAGGGGATTCTGCTGCTTCAAAGGTCAACCAAACTAGGTTAGGCACAGTTCGATATTTGCATCCGATTTGTCGGCTAAGTCCTTACCACGGGTCAACGGCGGAACCCACTAAGATGTAGTGAGCATGCCTTTACCAAAAATGGTCAAAAAGAGCATCACAAAAAATTTCTCGCGTTCCTTCATTAAAGAAATATCAGGTTTTTTTGTGACTGATAACTCTATGCCGAAATCACTGCTCTTAGATTTTAATGACATGGACCATTGAACACATCATTCGCCGTTTTCCAACGAAATAGTTTTTCCAGCTGTTAAACTCCAAGACATAAAATAGAACATAGGCATAAAGGAAGAGAATAAACGGGACGATTACAACCTATAGCTTGGAAGTGTACAAGCGTTTGACTCCAATTAGAATTGTGAGGGTAACTAGGTGTGTATTTGCCATGTACTTGCCATTGTTTATAGGGTTCGATGTATCAACTTGGTACCTTTTCCTTTCCGACCACGCTGATGCCAATATACCTCAGAACGATGAAATACTTAGTTTACCCGGTTACTGATCTAGCTAGAGACCCTATTTTTACTTTGTAGTTTCTTTAATCACTGCAGTGCTGCGCACTGTAAGTATTATGAACCCAGGGAAGATAACGATACATGCTGGAAAACCCAGCCCCTTCCCCCCTTTTCATTTGTAATGGTTTTATTTTAAGCAAAGAAAAAACAAGTAGAAAAAGGAAAAAGAATTGCAGTGATTCAGTGCTTATTCCAGTTATTTGGATAGCTGGGTCGTGGTTTTCATACATAGGAATATGGAGAACCATATACTTCTTGCAACCGTTAATAACGGATCACGTCAGTAATGAGGTACGATCTTAATTAGTATGTCACCAATAAATAAATAAATAAATAACCACGATTTAGCATCGCTTAGTGCACTGAAGAACACCATAGTTAGTAAAAATAATCACTGTCACCTTATCTGTAGAATCACATTGCCTTTTTTCTTTCTTTTTTCTGCTTTCTCTCCTCTCTATTTTCTTCCTTCTTCTCTCCGTATCTCTCGCTTTTTTCTCTTCTTTCTTCTTTCTTTCTTTTCTTTTGTTTCTTCCTCTTCCTTTTCTTCATCACTTCTTCTTTTCCTTTCTTTCTTCTGTAATTACACTCCTTCCTGTCTTTCCTCCTTTCTCCTCTTTATTATTTGTGAGGACGGAAACACCGTAGTGGATAGTGATGTCGTCAATAAGGAAGCGAAGGCTCTTTTTCGAAGACCATTGCGGATGATGAGTGTGTAGAAAACGAATTGAATGCGAAAAGTGTTGCGATTCGCACAGTAGATATGATGATGGGTCATGTAAAATAAAAGTATTACCTTTAAAGCATAGAAATGGATTTAAAAATATTAACAACGAGTGATTTTGTACCACAAAGATGTTGAGATATGAGGAGAACTCAGAACCTCAGGAGGGCTTTGAATCCGCGATTATCCTTTCCGGAAGCTTACAGGGTATCCACATCACCAAGGCCATTGCTTTGTCTTTCTCTCACCAATTCTTTATTCTATCCGTACTATCAGCAAACACTCGTCGACGGAAATGATCTGGCTTGTAGTTCATAACACTCTGGTATGATAGAGGAAAGGGCAGCAGATAAAAGTTCAAACTTTGTCATTTAAACTCCAACTTCAGCTTAACTGGGTTAGATGCCGATTTGAACTCATTAGATGATTACCGTTAACAAGTGACTGCTAGCACCGCAAGAGTAAAAACATAGCTTAAAGGAAAGCAAAACAATCCAATCAGTAGTGTTGAGGATAGCACATGGGCTTCCGAAAAACGTAATCGCGAGTTCGAAGCCACATGAGGTTCTGAATTTTGCACATGTCTCATCATCCTTTTAAGGGTACCTCGCAT